TAGAAAGCGTTAGGAAAAAAAATCATTAGAGGGATCTTTTTGAAGTCCAGAAGGCGGCAGCACGTAGCCAATTTGGAAAAATGGTTTTGTTAATATTTGAATGGTAGACCACCAAGAAATTCCAAGGCTATAGTTAGTTATGAAAATTGGAAAATACAAGTGGATGAAAACAATTTCAATATTATCATATTGTTACCAAGAAAAATATGTGGTAATGGAACCGTATTCAATTTAAAAATAGTTTTAAATATAATGATGTTGTTATGGGGTCCTTAGTGTGCTCTGAGCTTGATTATTTCTTTGCAGACATTTAATTCCCATCTAGGCAACATTAGTGCTAATGAATGTAAGGAATGTGAATGGAGTAGGGCAAACCTATCCTTGTCTACAGGCAAACAATAAACCCTAAAGAGCACCAAGGACTTTACAGTTCAGTCTTGTACTACATTTATTCTATTCTGTTATCATTATATTAATTACTTGGTTATTTAATAAATTTTGAATCTTCAGAAACAACTTTATTTAGAACATAATTATGATTATGATCGGTCTTCAGTATGTTTGCAGTATTGGGTAAAGTCTTGGTGATGAGGCAAAAGCTGATCAGAATTTCAAAATATAAATGAATCTTGGGGTTTTTAAAGAATATGTAATCCTGAAAACACAATCCTAATTTATACTATACAATCAATAGATTTCTAAATTTGTTCCTGTTTTCAAGATCAGAGTGTTGTCCTAAAATACATGAAATTACTATATTTCCTTCACAATTAAATAATTTGAACTACTGATAGTTGTGGATTTCCATAATACAGGGCTACAGTGCTGCCCCTTAATATAACATATGTTTTCAAACAAATCAGATTCTTTCTAATATTTTTGAATTGACATATTTCTTCAATTACAGCATGCTTTACTTGTTCTACAAGTGTTTGTGTGTTAAAATGTATAGTAATAAATAATTATTAGCATATTTCAACCATTTCCTTCATGCAAACTGTTAAATATCAAATAATTTTACAGAACACAATGCTTGCTCAGTAGGCAACGCTGCAAATACATGCATGCTCCAAATGATGTCTATGGGACACCCAGATTTTTAAAAATTCAAGTTTTAGCCTTTTAAAGTATTTTTTAGTTTTGATGCCTGTATCACAGACTGTAACTCACAAGTTGTGAACTACTTAAACCCTTGCAGCTAATTATTGAATAAAAAAGGAAAAAAGTTGGACTTTGGAAACCTTTTTTCCCCAAGAGATCACAATGTTTCTCTCTTATAAATTTATTTTTTAAAAAGTGAGCAATAAGCTTTTCATTTCATTTAATATTAATATAAAAAACAGAATAAAGAACAGTCTGGTGAATAAGTGGCATACATCATTTATTTATGTGTTTGTAAATAAATATATGCAAAGTCATACATTTTGTCTAATATTTACATCTATTTTGTCCAACATGACATCATAGCCTAGTTGGTTAACTGACTGGTTTCATCTTCTGTCCTTGAAATACCCCTGCCACTTTGCAACAGAGCTGTTTTTCACACCAGTTTTTATGTTGAAAAATTCCAATGTTTTCCAAATATTTTTTGTTCAGGCAGTTCTAGCTATCTCAGAGGTGCTTTTTCAGTTGTGATGAAAACTGATGAAGCTTTTTAGATGAGAAGCAAAACATTTTGTTCTTCTTCCTCAAAGGAAAAAACAATCCAGTTGCTTTTTTAAAAAGCATATTTGAGACAATTATGACTTAGGATTGATTGAGAATCTACACAGACATGCTGTCATAACTACTTTCCCTTTGGTTCTTTTGTGAGGACAATCAAAACCATATGGCTTAAACATAGTTTTGTGCATCAGAGAGTGAGAATATCACTGCAGGTACCACTGGACCACTGTTGCCAGCAAATACCCCTACAAATAGCTTACAGTAAAGAATGTTGGAATGTTTAGTTCAGCACTACTCAAAGAGATACAGATCTCTCGCTCTTGATACTTATTTGAATTGCAATCTCTGAAAATTGCATAAATATGAAAAACTTCAGCTTTGTTATAGACCAGATCAATCAGTGAAGTTGTATATGTGTCAAATTCTAAATTCTGTGCCACCATCAAAGTTATATGACTTTCAAAAATGCTACCCATGTTGGAAGGATCATATCTATCTACAGTGGTCACACTAACTGAAACTGCATCTATTTTTTCACATGGAAGTACATTGTACATTCACATATATGAACTGTATATAATACATGCATGTGATTTATAATTTTGGGTGTTTTTTTCCCAAATTTATTCTTAGGCAAAATTGGTCTTGGAGAGCTGTATGTTCTGTTAATGCAGGCTGATGGTTTTGTGCTATCTGTTTCAATTGGGAAAACTTAAAAACTCTCATTTAAAATATTGTTAAAATACGTTCATTGCAAATACTGAAACAAATTCATTGAAGCTGGAATTCTTCTAAAATATGTAAGAATAATTATTTTGACTTTAAAGAGGTCATTCTCCATAGAATATTGCAAATTAATAGACAAATTTCATTTGCTGCAGGATCTGTGCTGCCAAAGAATTCTATTAAAACAAAAGAAGAGACCATAGTGCAGGGTGCTTCATTGATCCTTATGACATTAGAGTAAGAATGTGTTTATTTGGCAAGTAGTACTTCCTGAAATTTGGCAAAACAAAAATTACTTGGAGACACTTGCTCACTCCCCCTCCTCCCTGGGAAAGGAATTTACAGCAATACCCTAGGCACTAAGTTCAGAAACAGAACCTAATTTGGCTACTCTCACAGGAAGAGGATTTTGGATATTGGGAATTGCTTTTAACACATGATTTTCGCATGGTTTTTCTTCAGAGTTTGCCTTGCTTACACTGCACTCAGTATCTCTAGTAAAAGAACCTTTTCTCTTTTAACACTTATGAATCAAGGGTTGGTTGTTCCTTCTTAGGGAGCAGACTGTAGTCATTCTGACACTCAGCCAATGGGGAATGAGGAGGGATGTGGCAGCCAGGATAGGGTTGTATAAAGAAGGGAATAGTTTGAGTTGAAAGTTTGGAAAGAACCAAGCTTTGATAAGCTTCTGTCCCCTTTTGCTGAAATAAATGAAACAAAAGGCCTTCACTGTGTCTTGGCTGGTTATTGGTCAGGCAAGCTTGCCTCTGGTCACAAAAGAAAGTGGCCAGGAGCACAAAGTAGTAGTAGAATCTAATATTTGTTTTTATGTTTCAATGTATTTTTCCTAATTCTTTAAATGTCTTGATTTGGTGCTTTAGTTTTTAACAAGACAAGTCACTGATTTGTTTAACTTTCCTTTCAATAAGTGTCTGCCATAGTCTGAAAATAAACTTGGTAGATTTTTTTTTATATTTTCAATTATCTTTTTCAAATACCAATAAAAGAGAATATATTTAGCTCAGGGTTGAATTGTGTTATCCTTGATGCTCTCTGAGCTTGATTATTTGTTTGTGAACATCGCTAACATTACAAGAAAAGACCCAATACAAGAATATGCACACTCATACACAAATATACACACACAAAAGCAGCAAAAGCCTATCTTGTACTAGTAATCTTTATTTAAGCCTTTTTTTGAGAAGATAATGGGAATCCAACTACTATGCAAAAGACTTCGCATTAAGTAGATCTGGATATTTTTTACAGTATTCAGATACAGATATTCAAAAAATAAACAGCAAAATCACACTCTCCTGGAAGTCTTGTGCAGAACCTTCTGTGCCATGCAGATTGCTAGCCGTGCAGCAATTTTTTTTATTGTCTGAGAAACAGAAAAGGAAGAAGGACATATTTATAGTTCTGAATTACTTTCTTGTAGGATGTTGCCATGAATCTACAATAGCTTGGGAGAAGTACACAATGGAGGACTCTTTATCTTCACTTTCTTGTAACTGGCTTTAAGAAGGTTCAGTACTTGCATAGTAATTAATAATTTAACTTCTCAGAGTCATAGAATCATAGTGTTGGAAGGGACCATAGATGTCTTTAATCCAATCTGCTGATCTAGACTTCATTAAAAAAAAAAGCAAATAATAGAGATTATAATGTAACATACATGACAAAAAGGCCTGTACTTGGGCAAGAGTTATCAATCTTATCTGGCAAAAGAAGCTGTATTCATAATTCTACCTAATCTGAATATGGGCGAAGCATAGTGTGAATTTGGTAAAAACAACATTACAGCAAATTATGAGTCAATAATACTATGCTTCTGTCTTTTAGCAATATTTACCCTCCAACAATGCTGATATTAAGATACTAAATCACAATAATGCTTGTTACTTTTAAGTTGGGTCAGATAAAAAACTAATTTAACATTTTAATTTTCTGTGCCCCAATGGAACTCTTAAGTGACATATTGGTTCATTCTGCTTGTAATTTTGTGCCAATATTATTTGTTTATGAGCTACCATTGCCTGTTCCAATGCATTAGCATCTTATTTGAGAACCCCAATTTATGTAATTTATTATTTATTTTGAGTTTCCAAGAGGACTAATAATTATCTGTCAAGGTAAGATTTTAGCCAAGAGCTGAGGGCACTTGGACATGTTCCTGTTTTGTTATTAACCCTGCCTCCAAAGAGCACAACAAGAAGAAAAACTTTCTTGGGAAATTAGGTTGAATTCTCTCCAGTTTCTAACAGTTGACATCAGGCTTTAACTGCTTTTCATAAGAGAGTTGTGCCAGCATCCTGGCTTCCAAAACCTTCAAAGCAGATGGTATATACTGGGCTTCTCTAGAGAAAAAGGAAGAAAGGATTGCTTCTGAACTGTTTTGAGCATTCAGATAAACTTGAGAGATAGAAATGAGATACCAGAGATAGTATTCAGCAGGTTCTGACAGGTCTGGAGAGCCAATAGTGAAAATTTTGAGTAGTTTGGAGAACTAGCAAATAGCACCTCTAATTGGCCCAGCCCCCATCTATTCTTTGCCTCCCAAGTCCCAGATTGGCTGGGTCTTCTTTTGTTGCCCTGCACAGGAGAACAGTGCTGGAAAGCAGATTAGTGGGGTGGGGACGGAATGCGATTTGTAGTAACCTTCCCCTGCCACGCCCACAGAACCAGTAGTAAAAAAAAGGAATCCCATCACTGATACGTCCTTAAATAATCATATAACTCCCAAGAGCTTTAAAGAAATTTATATATTCAATTATGAATCCAGTGGAAAATTTTCAAGCAAGCCTACCGTAACATGTATGACCTTTGTGTCTGAGAGCTAATTTGTGATGAAGGTTCCCTACAGAAGCAGACTAGTGATCACATGGCTCTTGTAAAACCTGCTGTTGTCTGCAATAGTATGATAGTATGATAGCATTGTCTCTCTAAAGCAACTATATACATACATCTATTAACTTGATGGGGGAGAGGTAATTTTTTTCTTTCCTTAATGCATTTACCTTTATATTCATCTAGTAATTTAAAAGTAAGGGCAAAGAGCATGAGATCCCAAAGAAACCAACATAGTTCCATAAAGAACTCTCTGACAAACTAAAAAATAAAAATGACAAATATAATAGTGGAAATAGAGGCATATATTTAAGGCAGAATACCAGCATATATCCCAAATCTACAAAGGATAGGAAGCTAAGGCTCAGAAAGAATGAAGAATGAACTAAAGCTTGCAACAAGTGTCAAAAAATAATATCCATTCTAGATGAGTTCAAATCACCGGACTAGATGGATTACCTCCCAGAGTACTGAACTAGTTGGCAGACATAATCTCAGAACCACTAAACCGTACATTTCAAAGATTCTGGAACACCAGGGAAATATAGGAGTGGAAAAGAGCTAATGTGGTTCCCTTCCTCAAAAAATTGGGAGGGTGGAGGATCCAGGAAACAACAGACCAATCAGTATGACCTCAATACGTTGGAAGATTCTGGAAAAAATTAGCAACAAATCTGCGAATTGAGACAAGCAAAGTGCTTGTCAAAAACAGATCATGCCAGACAAATCTTACTGTGTTCCTTGATAAGGCAACTAAATTAGTGGACTAGCAAAATGCAGTCAACACAATATATTTGGACTTCAGTAAGGCATGTGACAAAGTAGGCCATAATCTATTATTTGGTAAGATAGGAAAATGTGGGATAGGCAGTATCACCACCAGATGGATTCACAATTGGCTGACTAACTCCTCAACATTTTGTCCTTAATGGAACATGAAAAGAAGTATGCAGTGGGGTGCGCCAAGATTTTGTCTTAGACCCAGTACTAATTAACATCATCATAAAAGATTTAGGTGAAGGGTTAGAAGAAGTCATTAGATTAACTGTTGGTACCAAGCTTGTGGAGCTAGACAATACTTTGGAAGACAGGTGCAAGTTCTAGAAGAATCTTGACAGCCTCAAGTACTATCCAACAAAATACAATTCAATGGTGAGAAAAGTAAGGTTTTGTACTTAAGTTAAAAAAAAAAGTGGAACCAGGCTCAGTAGCAATAACTGTGAGAGGGATCTAGGAGTCTTTGTGGACAATCATTAAAGTATGAGCAAGCAATGTGCTGCAGCAATTAAAAATGCACTCCTAGAATGCACCAGCAAGGTTCTAGAAGTACCATTAGTACCATTTTATATTGCATTGATAAGACAATACTTGGAATACTATGCCCAGTTTTGGTTGTCACAATACAAAAAAAGATGCCTTATCAGAGAGCTTGCTAACTATGTTATGAAAGGTCACTGGGCAGTAAATGCTAGATCATCTGTCTCCCTTGGTTTCTAGATAGAAATAATTATGGATATGTCTTGGTCTTTAGGATTTGAGGCTTATTATAACAGTGGAATCACTCAGAATGGACTCATATAATTTCAGGAGAACTAAAATTCAGGTATGCGAACTTTTCCATGTTATAATTACCTTTTAGTGTTTAATACTTAATTAGCTATGGATAAGAAATTAGCTATGGGATGCAAAAAAAAAAGCCTACAAATTCTCCCCTCCAAATACACTTTAAAAATGAGCTAATTAGCCAAGAAAGCTTTTATCAAGGGTTCCTTGATAAAACATAATACTAAACTTCAAATGAGGTAAGAGAAACTGCAAATTTTCTCTTGCCTTTTTAAATTCAATATTATGAAAACTTAGACTTTAAAAGAAATGTTAATAAATTTAGAGAAAGCTTGAGAAAGATTCCATGGATGGAAATCTAAAGGAGGAAGCAATTCAAGAAGATTGGGAAACACTGAAAAATATAATTATAAAAGCCCAATCCAGCTCAATACTAATAAAAGGGAAAAACAAAACCAAGAAAAAATCAGCATGTTTATACAAATAACTCTCTGATAAACTGAAAAACAAAAAGGACAGGAACAAAAATAGAAAGAGGCACACATAAATAAGGCAGAATACAACAAATAGCCCTAATCTGCAAAGATGAAGTCAAGAACGTTAAGGTTCAGAATGAAATACTGTAAGACTTGTAACAAATGTCAAAAATAATTTTAAAAGTTTTTTTCAACAGATAAAAACAAGAAAATGTCAAGAAAACAATTGATCCACTAATGCGAGAAGATGGAAAACAAATAACGAGCAGTAGAGAGAAAGCAGAGTTGTTAAATTCATTTTTTGCATCTGTCTTCACATAAAAACAACATAATCTACCAAAAACATAACTGTAAAAGATAGATTAGGAAAATGAATTAAAATAATCAAGAAAATGGTAAGAACACTTGTCTACTCTAGACCAGTTCAAATCACTGGTATGATGGATTACATCTTAGAATTGTGAAGGAGTTGACAGATGTGATTTCAGAATCATTGAACTATATCTTTCAAAGATCCTAGAGCACTGAGAAACTAAGGACTGGAAGAGAGCTGATGTGGTTCTATTTTTTAAAAAAGGGGGAGAGGGGAGAAATAGATATAGGAAACTACAGACCAAGCACCCTGACATACTTCTGAAATGAATATCTGAAAAAATCTTGCAAAAACAGCAGACCAGCAAGCACCTAGAACACCTATGTTATTATAACCAGAAGCCAACATGGATTTCTCAAAAACAGAGCATGCCAAACAAATATTATTTTATTCTTTGACAAAATTACCAAATTAATGGAACAATGAAATCCTGTAGATATGGTGTACTTGGATTTCAGTAAAGCATTTGATGATATAGACACAACCTATTTCCTGGTAAGCTAAAAATATGTGGGGTAGACAGCATCACTCCAGATGGATCTGTAACTGATTGACAAATTGCAGTCAACATGTAATCTTTAATGGAATTACATCAACGTGGAAGGAAGGAAGCAGTGGGTACCACAAGGTTCTGTTTTAGACCCAGTAATGCTCAACATCTTCATAAATGATTTAGATGAGGGGGTAGAAGACAAATATATTAAATTTGTGATGACACTAAACTGATTAGATAACACCAGAGGGTGGGATTCTACCAGTTTGCACCTATTCGCTAGAACTGGTTGTTAACATTCTTAGCAGTTCGGAGAACCAGTTGTTCAACAGAAAGTTCAACAGAAAGTAGAGAGAAAGCAGAGATGCTTAACTCATTCTTGGGCATGTCTTCAAGCCAAAGAAATGAAGCCCAGCCTACCAAAAACATAACTGTAAAAGACAGAAATAAATATTAAAATAAGCAAGAAAATGGTGATAGAACACCTGTCTGATCTTGATTAATATAAATCACCAGGACCTGATGGATTATATCCCAGAATTCTGAAGATGCTGGCAGATGTTATCTCAGAACCATCATACCATATCTTTTTTAAAAATACTGAAGCACCAGGGAACTATTAGAGATTGAAAAAGAGCTGATGTGATTCCCATCTTTAAAAAGGGGTGGGGTGGGGGAGAGACTGTTAAGTTCAAATGGCTGGGCTCACAAAGACGAGAGACTCCGGTTCAGTAACAACAGCTCTTTATTTATCAGTCAATTCAGCTCAGGGGAATAGCAGCCGCGGCAGCTCTTTTTATAGAGCTCACCAGGGCTTTAGCGGCCAATGGCTTCGCTTCGAGTCTCCTGCTCTTGGTATTGACCAATCGCGGCAGACTCTTAGTGAGCCAATCACAGTCGCCCAGGTTGTCCAATCAGGTAGCTGTTAATTGAACCAATAGGAACGCAGGGTTTCAAGTCTCTCAATATGGAACACCCCTCCCCTCTTGGTATCGTCCAAGGGGCAGGGTGATGTAGTTGCGCAGGTAGGCGGGTCTCTGTACCTGCCTACTTGACTTGTGCGCTTCACGGGCTCCGCGTCGCTCTCAATTCTCCCGATGGAACTGCCTGGAAAGGAGAGCCGGGCCTATAGCTGTGACTCCCGCCTGGTTCGCCTAGGTTGGTCGAGTCGTTCGCTCTGCTGCTCCCGTCTGGATTTTCTGGGCTGGTCAAGCTTGTCCAGCTACTTCTTTCAGGTGAAGCACCCGTCTGCAACGGTTCTGTATATTCAGGTGAGTATGGTTGGTTTATTGTTCGATTTCTGCCTGGGGGGTGTTCTGCTTGTGTTGAGTGTTTTTCTTTTTCAATGTTTGAGGTCCCCCCCACTGATTTTTTTGTAGAGGTCTGTGCTGGCCAGCCTGGACCATAGCTGGTCGATATGGCACTTCCAGCTACGCCTGTCGGTGGTTTCGAGGCAGTACGACCTGGGTCCAGTTATTTGGGTGATTCGTGCAGGTACCCAAAGGGGGTCCCCGGTGAAACTTTTTGTGAAGACGGTGTCGCCGATGTTGAATGCGCGATGTCGGCTTGTGGAGCCGGGGGGTTTCTCTGGATTGTAAGTGGGATGCAACCGGTCTAGTGGCGAGCGGAGTCTTCTGCCCATAAGTAGTTCTGCTGGGCATTTGTTAGTGGTTGTGTTAGGCGTGATATGTTGTATCAGCAACACTTTGTTGATTTTTTCTTGGATATTGCTGTCCTCAATTTTTTGTATGGTTTTCTTTGTAAATTGAACCATCCGTTCCACCCGCCTATTCGCCGCCAGGTGATCGGGCGATGTTAATGCGTGTCTGATGCCCCGGGCAGCTAGGTATGGTTCGAATGCCAATACCGTGAACTGTGGCCCATTGTCGGACACTATCACATCTGGCAACCCGTGTGTGGCAAAGAGTTTGTTAAGTTTGGCTATGACGGCCTCTGTGGTTGTTTTTTTCATAGTGCAGACCTCCAGCCAATTTGAATAGGCATCAACGGTTATCAGAAAAGTGTGTCCATGAGTGGGGCCGGTGAAATCAAGATGGATTTGGGACCAGGGGCCTCTGGGTGCTTCCCATTCCAGGGGTGGTGCTGTGGGGTGGTGGTGGATCGCATTTGTTGGCAACTGCGACCCATGTTTCGATCTGCCTGTCCATCCCTGGCCACCAAGCATAACTTCTTGCCAGGGCTTTCATCCAGACAATGCCCGGATGCCCTTCATGCAGCATGTCCAGCACTTTGGTTTGTAATGTTTCAGGTATCACCACCTGATCTCCCCAAAGAATGCACCCCTTTTGAGCAAAAAGTTCAGTTTGCAGGCTCCTGAAGGCTTTAAAATGTTCGTCTTTATCATTTTCTGGCCAACCCCGTTCTACCCAACTCAAGACTCGCGCCAGCCGCTTGTCTTTTTTTGTTTCGCGGGCAATGTCTGGAGCAGTGAGGAGTGGGCTGGGTATGGTTTCTATTTGGAGGACTTAAGTGGTGGGTGCTGGGTCGTCAAGCACGTCTGGAAGGGGTGAGCAGTTCAAAGCATCAGCGTGCAAAATGTCCTTGCTGGGGCGGTGTATGAGGATATTCTCAAAACTTATTCAACATAACGCAGATATAATATGTCTTCAAGAGACACATATTTCGAAGAATGATGAAAGACATCTAATTTGTCCAAAATTAGGTAAACTTTTTACAGGACCGGCCGACCAACACAAGAAAAAAGGAATTGCAATTTATGTAAAACAAGATGTAAAGGCAGAATTAATCTGGTCGGATCCTGAAGGAAGAACTCTGGTTATACAAGTTTGGATAAACCACATCACATTTTTACTTGTAGCAATCTATGCCCCAAATGATGACCAGGGGAAATTTTTTAAACACCTTCACCAAAAAATAGTAGGCTTTGAAAAAAGAAACATTTGCTTGATTGGCGATTTTAACTCCATTGCAGACTACCAGAAAGACCATAGTAATATGGGGAAAAACAAGAAGGGGAAAAGGGAACTTTCTGCGGCATGTAAGGAAATGTTGAGAGAGTTAAATTTAAAAGATCTATGGAGGGAACGGAATCTTGAAGGAAAACAATTTACATATTATTCTAACCCACATAAGACTTGGACCAGAATAGATATGGCTTGGATGGATTTGGACTTGGCTAATGAAATAAAAGAAATCAAAATTCTACCGAATGAATGGGCTGATCATAACCCAATACAGCTAATTTGGAGGGATAGGAGACGAATAAAAAAAAGATGGACACTAAATAACCAAATTGTAAACGAAGAAGAGTATATTAATAAACTGAAAGAGGAGCTAAACTATTTTCTAAAAGATAATAATAATGAAACAACTTCAAAACAGAACATTTGGGATACTATGAAAGCATTTATAAGAGGCACAACAATTTCCTATAATGCTATGAGAAACAAGAGAATTTATGCCCAACAAAACGCGTTACAACAACAAATCCAAGACTTAGAAACACAATTACAAAAAACCCCTAAGACTCAAGGACTACAAAATCAGTTAATACTAGCCAAACATAAGCTGAATTTAATTGAACAAGATAAAATAGAAGTTAGCTTGAGAAGGTCCAAACAAAATTATTTTGAACACGCCAATAAACCAGGAAGATGGCTATCTTATAAACTTAAAAAAGAAAAAGAAAAGAGATTGATACACCAATTAATAGATGAGAAAGGCATCCCACAACATGAGATTGAGAAGAAAAAGGATATTATATTAAACTATTTCCAAAGATTATATAAAAAAGAAGAAATCAATGAGGATAAAATAAGAACTTATCTGGAGAATACGAATGATAAAACAATAGGGGAAGGAGACAAAGAATTACTAAATAAGGATATTACATGGTCTGAGTTAAAATCTGCAATGGAAAATCAATGTAATAATAAATCCCCTGGTCCAGATGGGATTCCAGTAGAATTGTATAAAGCCACAATAGATTTAGTAGGGCCTCTGATGCTGGAAGTGTTTAACGAAGTACTTTCGGCTGCCAAAATGCCAGACTCATGGAGGGAGGCGTTGATTGCGTTAATTCCGAAGGAGGATGTGGATGCCAGATATATCAACAATTATAGACCAATCTCACTTTTAAACGCCGATTATAAATTATTTACCTCAATTATTGCGAATAGAGTAAAACAAGTTTTAAATTTATACATTCATGAAGACCAAAATGGTTTCCTTCCATTCCGCCAAATTAAAAACAATTTAAGAACCGTTATTGACGTCTTAGAATATTATGAAGCTCATCCAGAGAAACAATTTACACTCTTGTTTCTAGATGCGGAGAAAGCATTCGATAACTTACATTGGCACTTTTTAATACAAAAAATCTATAACATGAATCTGGGCACTAAATTCGAGAATATTATCACAACAATTTACAATACCCAACAAGCCAATATACTAATTAATGGTGAACAAACAGGCCCACTAAGCATTGAAAAGGGCGTTAGACAGGGTTGCCCTCTCTCACCCCTCTTATTTATATTTGCTTTAGAATCATTGTTAACGCGGATAAGACAAAATCCTGAAATCCAAGGGGTTAGGGTCAAGGCAGAGGAATATAAATTACAGGCGTTTGCAGACGATATGGTTTTCTTCCTAGAGGATCCCACGGAAAAAGGACATAATCTAATAAAAGAACTAGAACAATATGGTTCAGTAGCAGGATTAAAGATCAACAGAAATAAGACGAAATTACTGACTAAAAATCTAACAGAGAACCAGAGGAAAGAATTAGAAAAAACCATGGGGATACAGGCAACAAAAAAGGTCAAATATTTAGGCATATGGTTAACACCACATAGTAAATCACTCAAAGAGAATAATTATGATAAACTGTTACAGCAAATTAAGAAAGATCTAGAATCTTGGAATAAGTTGCAGCTTTCTTTACTGGGCAGGATTGCCACAATCAAAATGAACATTTTACCAAAACTCCTTTACTTATTCCAGACAATCCCAATAAAATTATCAAAAAATTTTTTTGATGATATAAATAAGGTAACTCTTAAATTTATTTGGCAAGGGAAAAAAGCTAGAATCAGTATTAAGGCCTTACAAGATGCAAAAAGTAGAGGTGGGCTAGCGCTTCCAAACTGGGAATTATATTATTGGGCAGCCAACTTACTATGGTTAAAAGACTGGGTCAATTTACGGAATAAAAGAACTCTAGCCTTGGAAGGGCACGACCTTCAGAGAGGATGGCACGCATTTCTATGGGATGTGGGGAAAACTAAACAGGCGTACTTTCATAGACATCTTATTAGAGATTCACTATTAACTAATTGGAAAAAAATATGTAAAAAACATTATTTAAAAATTCCGATTTGGCTTTCAACAATGGAGGCAATGGTTCATCCAAACAATTTGGATATAACAAAAACGACTAAATATAAAGATTTATTAGATCCTTTAGGAAAATTAAGAACTCGACAGGACTTACAGGAACAGGGATTTAAAATTGATCAGTGGTTATATATACAAATCCATAGTAGATACAAACAAGATATCAAAGAGTTTGGAATCTATAGCAAATTACAACACTTAGATAAAATCTTATTAGGATCAAATAAAAAGAATATCTCTAAATTTTATAAATATTTATTGGAGGTAGAATTAGAGCAAGAGATAGTGAAAGGGAACATGATAATGTGGAGTAGGAATATTGGAAGAAGCATTACATTAACAGAATGGGAAAAGATCTGGAATAGAATCATTAAGATTACGAAATCTGCGGCGTACAAAGAAAATATGTATAAAATGTTATATAGATGGCACTTACCCCCTTCGAGGTTAGCGAAAATGAACCCAAACTCTAGTCCAAAATGTTGGAAATGTAAAAACATAGAGGGAACCTACTTTCATATGTGGTGGACCTGTAAAGAAGCCCAGAAATACTGGCAAAAAATTAGAAAATGGCTGGAGGAGATAACCAAAGATCAAATTGAATATAAACCAGAGTTCTTCCTACTAGGGATTTCTGATAAACATTTTCCTAAAAAGACGAAATATATAATAATTCATATTCTAACTGCGGCCAGATTAGCATTTGCTCAGTGCTGGAAATCATCCTGTTTACCTACAGATCAATTGGTCATTCAGAAAATATGTGACTGCGCAGAAATGGACAATTTAACCATAGCTCTTAAAAATAAAGAGTCTTCAGCATTTGATAATAATTGGAATGCATGGTATAATTGGTTATATCAGAGATAAACTGTTCAATGAGCATAAATAAGCATAAATATCCATAAATAGCGATAAGATGTGTATATTTAAAGTAAGAGAAGAATTGGAGAATTGGATCTTGTAGACTGTCAAAAAGAATATTTGTCTGGTTTTAACGTATTTTCTTTTTTCTTCCATTTCTTTGTTGTTGTTTTTTTGTTTTTTGTTTTCTCTCTTTTATACTCCTTTTTCTCCTTTTTCGGTCGCAAGACCGAGCGTTTTTTTCTTTTTTCTTTTTCTTCCTCTCTCTTTCTCTTCTTTCTTTCTTCTTTTTCTCTCTCTGTTTCTTATGTAATGTTGTTATGTTATTTTTTTAATTGTAAATTCAATAAAATTTATATGCAAAAGAGCTGGTAATTATAGGCTGCCAAGAACTTGGACCACCTTGATAGGTGAGGTGAGAGGATGGTCGGGGTGGCCTTGTTGCCCGCCAATATGCCAAGCAGAGGTTTATGGTCAGTAATAATTGAAAAGGTCCTACCGTAGACGTATTCGTGGAATGTTTTCACTCCGGAGATGATCGCTAAGGCTTCCTTGTCCAGCTGGCTGTAATTTCTTTCCGGCTTGGACAGGGTTCTTGAAAAGAAGGCAATGGGTGCCTCTTTTCTGTCTGGTAAGGTGTGACTGAGGATTGCTCCTACTCTGAAAGGTGATGCATCGCATGTAATTGTTAGTGGTAGAGTTTCACTATACTGGATGAGAACTGCGTCGGAAGTTAAGAGGTTTTTTATTCGGTGAAAGGCATTTTCCTCCCATTTTCCCCAAGTCCAGCAGGCGGTTTTGTCCAACAGTCTATGCAATGGTTCCACCATGGTCGCCTTTTGGGGTAGGAAAACATTATAAAAGTTAATGAGTCCTAAAAACGCCTGAAGCTCTGTTTTGTTTTTCGGTCTGGGGGCTTGCTTGATGGCTTTGAGTTTTTTCTCAGTTGGGTGAATTCCGTGTTTGTCTAGGAGGTACCCCAAAAACTCGACCCTCTCAGTGCATAGTTGGCATTTTTCTTTTTTGACTTTCAAGCCAGAGTCTTTAAATTTTTGGAGTACTGCCCTCAGGCGTTTTTCTAGTTGTTTTTTATTAGCTGCTGCCACTAATACATCATCAAAGTATGGCACTACTCCCTTAATGCCTTGCAGCATCCTTTCCATTAGGCTTTGGAAAATCCCAGGCACTACGCTGATGCCAAATTGGAGGCGGTTGCATTTAAATGCCCCCCAGTGTGTCACAATCGTTTGTGCCTCGGCGGTTTCTGCATCGACCGGCAGCTGCTGATAGGCTTGTGCCAGGTCGAGCTTTGCAAATACCCGGCCTCTCCCCAGTGAGTGCAGGAGGTGCTGGATAGGCACTTTGCTGCAGGGCATGGTTAAGGGTGGCCTTATAGTCTCCACAAATTCTTATGGAGCCATCTGGTTTGATTGGGGTGACTATAGCCGTTTCCGATCGGGCTTGGTCAGTAGGTTCCAATACCCCTTGGGCGATGAGCTTATTTAGTTGCTTGTCTATTTTAGGCTTGAGTGCAAATGGCACTCGCCGCAGTTTGAGGTGGATAGGGGCAACATCTGGGTTAAGATTGAAGGAGATTGGGGACCCCTTGTACTTGCCTAAGGTGTTGTCGAAGACCTCTTGGAAGTCCCATGCAAGTGCTGCTTCCCAATCCTCTTCGTTTGTGTGGTGGATGCCAGCCATTTCAATTTCTAGCGGCTCGAACCATTGTAGCCCGAGCAAGCTGGGGCGGTCATTGTCCACGATGGTGAGCGGCAATATGTTGGTG